TGAGCTTTAATTGCTTTATATTCATTTATTAGTCACCAATGTCCTTCCTTTAATCCAATAGCTAAGAAAGAAACACCTCTAAATGAACCCTGATGATCTCATACTGTCCTATTTTTGTGTTTTTTATACTTTTCTAATGATACGCTAAGATAAATACCCGTGGCTAATCCACACCCACCATTGGTGAAATATAGGGTACATTATTCCCTGGCAGTAATGCAGTTACTATGAAGCTAGCTTGATGCCTTTGTCTGCTAATGGAGATGTTCGACTAAGATGGAGTAAGAAGTGATGTATGTGTTGCTCCAGAACTACACCACTGGGAGAACAGGAAGCTGAGCTCTAATGAGGAGCAGCATAAGACTACGAGTTTCAGCCCCCTTCATCTTTGACCTATATATCGACCCCCTTTTTTAATCTTTCTCCACCTCTGTATCTCATATTTATATCTTCTCCCTCTTTTGTCTCCCTTTTTCTGTCACATACTCTGAATAAGTAATGGTTAATAATAACATACTGATCCCTCTGATATCTACCTCATGACATATTTTCCTAGAAGCCATCTTGAATACACTATACTGCTGGGCAAATCACAGAAGACATGATGTGAAGAAAGTGCTAGTAGTCGAAGAGCTATAGTGGCTTCAATGAGAATCAATTAAAGCTGAATAGTAATTATGGCTGAATGGATAAGGAAACTAAAACTCCACACGAAAGCTCAGACTTCATCAATAGAAACATGTCAAAGGTCGGGTTTAAGCAGCGCCGCCTTGTGTTGGTGGGAATTGGTGCTACCCAGTCCCACACTACAATGAGCTGTTTACTGTTGGATGAATTATGGAGGCACTGACTCAGGGAGATTTATGACCTCCCTGGTTTGTGGTTTGATGGTGGTATGAGTAATGGGTCATATTTTCAGGTTCTGTATTGACCGTATCAACTGATAGCCCCTAGTAGGAATAAGGAAGTGAAAGGGGTCCAGTAGAGGTGGTGTGATATGTTTGTGTGTGGGGTTTGTATTGATGTGATATCATAACACACATGAATTTGTAAGTAACCATACATTATTTTTAACTGTATGCTAACAATAAGAATGCTGTATTTATTTTCTGCGATGCAGATCTAGTCAAAGCTTCAGGATACATTTACGTTTGTTTGTTTTTATCAAGTTACTACTGATTGTATCATCATGTTTCAAAGTTCAAGATTACTGTATCTGTGTAGAGAAGCCGGATTGTTGTGATCCCTTCCTTGTGAAATATTGGCTTCAAAAACAACAACAATTCCTGGAGCTTCTGCGTGAATATTTACAACTTTATCAATGGTGCTGGAGTTAAAGGGCATTTAAAGAAACACATTCGGTGGACCTGTCAAGTTCTTTAAAAGCGTCAATGTTCAGATGTGTTGCAATCTATGTTAATAAAATATTCACGAAGACATCACCTATGATCTGAAGTTAATGTTCTGACTGCATTTGTGCAAACTCAAAACACGATGGCACTTGAGCAGTAATCTAAACAAAACTGCTCGTATTGAAGCAGCGTCTGTGACACTGTTTAAACTGGGAGTTTGACACCCACATATTAACAGTACATTTGTAGTCGGTATTTCTAGTACTTTCAACAAAAGTATACTTTAAAAACGGCACTGCCTTTTTATGTTTTTTTCATATAGTTTCTAGTGGGGCTTGACAATAGAGGTTTCTCAATACTCTAATTTCCCCTCCTCGACTCCTATCCTCGAGACTTAGTCCCGGCGCCCGCAGGAGATGCGAGCGGAGGACTGAGGAGGGGAACCGAGGAGAGAGGAGGGGAAGCAGCCGGCGGTTAGAGAAATGAGAACTCCTCTCCTCTGAGCGGTCATTTTAAAGAGATGTCCATTAATGATGACAGGAGGCACAGCAGCCCTCTGTCTGATGGACAGATGTGTTCATGACGACTTATATATTTACTTTGAATTCATTCACAGTGCGGTATAATGAGACAATAACAGGCTACAGATGCGGACACACACACACACACACACACACATATATTTATATAAATATATACAATTTCAGAATCAAACAAGTATGAGAGCTCACTCTCATAATAACGTACCACAATCAGAGACTGGATATATCCCCCCCTCTCTCTGGTCGCTGAAATGGGGAATTGAAATTACGGGCCAAAAGTTGTATTTACAAGTATTACAAGTAAGTAGAGGACACCAAACCAAATGAGACCCGTCTGTCCGCCGCATATACGCACTGTACAACACACACACCTACACACTATAACACACACCACACACACACACACACACACACACACACACACACACACACACACACACACACACACACACACACACACACACACACACCTACAGCTCCTAAAGCATATAATCAGGCTACAGCCGTTGTGTATTTTATTATGTGAAGCACTAAATGGTCTTAGAAAAATATCGACTCTTTGTTTGTAGATATCTACTAAACTACAGCAAATACAGAGAGTAATGTAGGCCTGTTATACTGAGTGATATGTATTTTACACACTGCTCTGCTTTCTGCACGGACCTCACAGCTGTCCTCACTGTAAACATCGCGTCGCGATGAAAGCAGTTACTAAAATAATATCTAGGGGATGCATGCAGAGCTAAGATAAGTCCGGCCGTGCGTCACGCCTCCACCCTTCCCGGAAATGCATCCGCGGAGGAGCCGTGGAGGGGCCATCAGTGTCTCCTCGGTTAGAGCTCCTCCAGAGAGCCTCCTCGATGCTCGATGCTCGGTCCTCGATGTGCATTTAGAGAAATGAGATGTCCTTCAACATTGCACGCTGAAATCCATTTCCGGGTCACTACCGGAGGACCGAGGAGTCGAGGAGGGGAAATTAGAGTATTGAGAAACCTCTATTGCCAATTACCTGTTGAAAACTGATATTTCTTACAGCTGTGCTCGAGTACATATCAAAGTTATGTGGCAGAGTATGTACGCAGAATGCTAACGACACATGTCATTCTGCAATGGAGCAAAGTGGCTGTAAACAAATGAGCACAAATGCTGTGATATGTGTAACTGAGAACAGAACATTTCCATCCATCCATCTTCTCCCGCTTATCCGTGGTCGGGTCGCGGGGGTAGCAGTTCCAGCAGAGAGCCCCAAACTTTCCTAACTGAGAACAGAACATTTATGAACATATAAAAGAACAGACATGCCGATTCACAAATAATTTTTGCACATTTTAAACCTGATCACCAATGGCTAAGTATGTAATATAACATGCATTATCAATTATGTATAAACCTTTCTGTATCTGCAGACATTTCATTACAATTCAATATATGAGGCCCAGACTTAACTAGTCTTGGTGACAATGTGCAGTTTGACAAGAAATAAAGTGAGTTATGACTTTTGCATAAAATAAATTGTAGTTTGAGCATTTATTAGCCACAATTCACGTAAATCAAATTGTGTTTTCCATTTTTTTTAAAACACGTTCTCAATGAGTATTACACACATGTGCTCTGCTATGGGTTTTTTATATTCACAAATATCTGTCTTTATTCATGATTTCAGGGAGGCAGCTCTGACAGGACAGATGGTGGATGGGTATTTGACTCATTTCAAAACGAGTCAAAAATAATTATAATAATATAAGCAGCACTGTCATTACTGTGTTTGCACGTCTAAATCATAGTTTAGACATTTCGACTGAACGAGGAAACATAAACAGCTATTTCATGGGTAGGAATACATAATGCATGAATGGTTTTTTTATTGTTCCAGATGATAATGATGTAAAACAAGCAATCTCAGATGTTTGATTTCTGTGCCACCCTAATTCTTTAATCGTCATCTGAAAATCTTAATTTGGGGAGTTATTTTGGATTCTCTGTTGATAAAGTCTGGGTTTCTGAAAGTTTTTTTTATATGCTGTTCAATGTATTTTCTTGTTAGTATTTGACCTTTATGATTGATAGAGGTCAAACAGATTTGTCATGGGAGATAGGGAATGCAGAATGGAAGTCAAACTCTGGTCCACTGTAACAGGGAGTGAGCCCCCAATACACAGCTCTTCTTTAGTACATCTTCAGTTGGGTGGAGCTGTTTAAGAGCAATGCAGTGGAAAGACGATATGTAGGTGAACGCAAGACGGGGATACACCGCACATCACTTTCCCTCACTGTTGCAACAGCAGTGAAACACTACAAACTGAAAATCAAGCAGGGTCTGTGTAAACGCATCACATCACTGATGCAACACAAACCACTAATGGAGTCTACACAGGGTCACTCAGTGCTAAGTGAAGACGGTTGAAATCTACAAATTCAGATGCTTTCATCTCATGCCACACAAGTGTCGGCCTGGAAAACATGAAGTCCTGGGGAGAAAGTGAAGAGTGCTCCTGTCTATCAAAAAGAAAAAGGAGCTGACATAGCACCTGTCTAAACACATCTATGTTTCACAATGAGGTGGCCCTGCACAGACACAACAATGAGAATATACAGTCACACAATCAGCCTCCAGCCTGTCTTGTCTTGGTGTCAGGAGTCTCTTGAGAGCCGGTAACTGGCGCCTTCCTCCTCAGTGTGCATCTTGCCTGGCTGCAGACTACAGTGCACCCAGTGACCTGCCACTGGCTGTGTGCTCTGACAGTTTAGTGCAGTTGTATTTAGGGGTGTAGGCCTACATGTCAGTTGTGAGGATGTGTTTGTCTGTGCTCCCTGTGCATGCCAAAGTGTGTGTAGAGTGTCTGCCTTAGCTCCTGTTATGTCAGTGATGAGGTGGCACTGTACTTTGCAATAAGAGCAGTCAGCCTGCAGGCAGGACTGGCCATCTGGACTCATGGTAAAGAGCCTAGCCCAGATGTCAGTGTTTTCTTTTTTTCAATCCCTCTCAGTGTAATCAGATCTCTTTTTCTTTTTGCTGTCTTAACATATAAATCAACTATAATACACTGTATGTTAATCATCTTGTTTTTTCTCTCCTTTGTTGTTGTCTTTCTTTCTCCCTCTGCAGTTTGCTGCTTTGTGGTCCACAAGAGGTGCCATGAATTAGTCACATTCAGCTGCCCTGGGGCAGATAAGGGGCCCGATACAGACGTAAGTAACCAAAGCCCAGCTGTTCCGTCTCACATGTTTGTCGGTGAGGACGTGCCTTTCCTGTCATTATACTCAAGTGCACATGCAGTGTCACCAATATGCAGTCAGGTCAACCAGGCCTGCCTCTTTTCTACACCCTTGCTCTTTTGGTAAGCTGTTGTGCTGCTTTGAATGATTGTTGTATTATGGAGCACTGTGGCAAAGTGGGCGGAGGAAACTGTAGTTTACTCTTCCTCGGACCCACATCACTTTACAAGTTTCAGTGTACATGACATGTTGACATGCTACATTTAACAACTTTTCTAGAGCTTGTAGAAGTAAATGTTTATCACAGCACACTGACTCGCATACAAAGCATCTTTGTTTCAGCAGTTCTCAAAAGAAGGCTTTAATATTTTAGTCTTCTAGAATCTATTCAATGAGTGCCATATACAAGTTCAATTCAGCTGACTCATGATGAACCACAGCAGCAGCAGATGGCTTATTCAATTCATCCAATGTCCATGTTTCAGGGGAGTCACCGTGATTTCAATATTCCACTTAGTGAGTCACTGTCTCCAACCTCTAAAGAAATGAATGTGAGATTTTTCTCTTTCTGTAGTAATAGTCAGTATTCTTTCCTACAAACTAAACATATTTGAAAAGCAAGTTTTGACACAATAACATACTGACAGTGACCCCAGAAGGATAATGGAGTTCAAAGTATATCTCCCAAAAATAAATTATAATTCACTCAGCAGGATTGAGTTCATGGAAAAGTATATTAGCAGATAGATAATCCATTAATAATGAGCTGCGTTGGCCCGGTGACAGATGGGAAATGTAGGAGTGGTGGCCAAAGCCAACACACCTACATCTGTCTTGGCTGGACAGAGACACACATACTAAACACTTAACACATACACTACAAATACAATTGTATTAGTCCAAATTGACTGAGCACGCTGTGGAAATACTAATTTTGAATTAGCTTAGCTTTTTATGTATTTTTTTATTAAAAAGTATATGATACTGGACCATTGGTGGTCATTTAAAAACGCTTTATAATGTGTTAAAATTATTGTTAAATATCATTTATGTTAATATTTATTTATATTATTATGAGTGCTCATTACAATAATGACAGTGTAAGAAACAGGTTATAAAGCATAATAGATCTGTTTATAATGCATTATAGACATAATTGATAGTGTTATCTTAATTATGTTATTGGAATATGCAATTCATTTTTGATAAAATCAGCCACATTCAATGGGGTCTCCCATTTGCCTCATTATCGGCTGCTATTACATATGCCAGTAGCCAAGGCTTAGCTGCATGCTAAGTGTGAAACTCAATTGACATGCCTGTGTGCCTGCCGGGCATGCATACCCTCTCAGTGTCACAGCAGCACTGCCTGGCCTCTGTAACTGGAGATATGTCAGTGTGTCATCGAAGATCATCAACCCAGAATCTTAAAATGGAGCATGGCAGGGATGACACGGAGAGCAGAAAATAGTCTGAGCAAGGATTCTCGATTCAAGCAGGCACTTGGGGACAGAATAATGAGCGGCTATCAAGTTTTATTGTGGGCAGGACAGTCAACTTTATTGACCTTTGATATCTGAGTGTTGCAGTTACATGTGTTTTACAATTAATGTATTGCACAGAAAACACAAGTACAAATATTAGTCAGTTAGTCTGCCAAAAGTTTTACATTCGTTCCTGTTTCATACATTAAAATACTTTCTTGAATACAAACTGCAAAGTTCTACTTTCTCCAATGAAGAATATTGTATCTGTTAATGTTGCTGCATCAACATCCAAATATGAGTTTCTCAAGCAGATGTAATGAAGCCTTTACTTTAATGCCATATGTCATTGCCACACACTTAGACCTAAGGAGAAGTCATACTATATACTGATCCAACATACTAACACATACCTCGCAGAAGTTATTTGAATTGAAATCCTTTATTGTCATTTTACAGGTACGAAATTAAATAAAGCAGGTCAGTGCATGTCTACATATCAACAAGCAAGAATAAAGAAAAGCAAAACTAATGTGTAGATATCTAACCCGACTAGAGCAGACCTCCCTTAAAATACCAGTGGTAAATTATTCTCAGCCTTTCGTTAATGCGGGCACTGTGTGTGCTATTATGACATTAATTAATGTGATCAAATGGCCTCCACAAACCTAATATATTTTAAGAATATGTGAATATATTAACGCCTGCCATATAAGAATATTAGCTCCCTTTTTAATATACATTTTTGTGCACTTAGCAGTTCTGTTGCCACGGGCAACCACACATATTTAATGGATTGGTGCCTCCCTGGCGTGCGATCCAGGAAGGCAATAACTCCCATGGCCAACAAATATCCTGAAGATCTGCAGTATCCAGGCTACCTGCATTTCGTGACTGTATTTTATAACTACCCTATTGTAAGAGATAAAGTGTTCACAAGATGCAGATCTTTTTCAGTAGCAATCTCATCCCGGGCAGCTAGCCTTAGTTTGACGTGACAAGATTACCATGAATACATTGTTCCTTGAAGCCTCAGAGGGTGTTGTTTCAAAGGCAGGGTGGCTGCAGTTATGCACAAACTCACATGTAAGATTTCACATGTCATTTCTCTGCATAGTCGGTCTAGTAGTTGTACAGAGCACATTCAGTGGTGCCATTTGAGATTCACTTTGAGGTTCACTTTGAGTGCCATCTTTCTAGGAGAGAAATAACACTTGAATCAATCTGTTTGGTCACAGGCATGCTGCTCAAACCACTAGATTAAAGCATATCATGACCAATTTGACATTGTTTTCTAAATGTTCATGCACATTGGTAAAAAGGGTACTTGGTAAAAAATATTGTATGCAGAATTATGTAATATGCTGAATTTTCAGATTTATGAGAATCATTGAATTACCATATTAAAAAGTCTGCTGTTTTCCTCTAGACACCATCAAACACCACTGTGCGTTTTGGTTGTTATAAGCAAAGTATACATTAAATACATTTGTGAGAATGAACACATTATTTTGTTAATGTATTAAGATCATTATAACAATTACTTAATGATCTGGTCAAATGAAATTAGTTTAAACATTGAACCACTATTATTACAATTGGACCTTTTTAAAGGGATCACTTGTTGAGTTAGTAATAGTATAACTTAGAAAGCACATTCCATGCTAGTGTCAATTAGTCTGATTAAAACACTTACTTTAACAAATTGTTTTAGTTTGACTGCCTGGTGTAACATTACCAGCAGGTCGAGTAAGTTCAGTGCTTTACAGGACAAGACCATCAATAATGCAAAAGCTTCCCGTTTCACTACAGGGGCTCAGCAGATGAAACTAAGAGGTTTGATGTGCTTGCATTTACGTGGGTGTGTGGCTGCTGCATCATTGATGTCCACTTAACCAGTGCAACACATATGACCCAGGGCAATCTGCTAGTCTGTGCACTGATTTCCTTCTGATCACACACAAACACAATTAAAAACACACACACACACACACACACACACACACACACACACACACACCGGTCACTCCCCTTGGGGGCTGTTCAGCGCACAGATATCTGTGACAGAGTAACAGAGTTAAGCAGTAGCACAGTGCCTTTTCTGTCTCTTCTACACACACAACTGACCTGAGGGTGACGTGGCAGCCTGGCAGAGCTCACACAGACACACAGAAAATGCCCTTCTTCTTCTACTTCTTCACAATATCAACCAGTGTAATGGTATCAAAAGAAGAGCCTCTAAATCACTTGGTGGAAGGGATGCAGGCATAAGGTATAAGCAGGCCTTCAGTTATTCTGAGAGAAATCAGCGGCGTTATATTATTGAGTTGTTCTAATATTTAAAAGCACAAATCTCAAAGGTGGAGATGTTTTTTGGCAGACTCTAGAAGGTGTTTTGTTGACATGGGGGTTGGGATGTATACTCTTCTTTGAAATTGAAAACAAGATTAAACTTGAGTGTGCTGAAATTACATCATCTGTGACACAGGCATCTTGGGCACATCTGTTTTTTAAAGTCCGTTTCCTTCTACCAAGAGTGTTGGTCATTTCCTACAAACAGGCATGTGCAGGCCCACTGGTGTAAAGAAGTTTTATACAATTATGAAATATTTTCAGACTTTTTTCTAGCTCTCACTTTTTTATCTCACTTTTTTTATATATAAGCCTAGTCCATAAGTACACAGGTAATTTTGAACGCTGGTTTATTCCTTCAAAATACCGACCATACAAGCATGTTCACATTGAACTTCATCCAGATGTCAAGGCCAGTGGGCAGGCTCACACACACACACATACATACATACATACATACATACATACATACATACATACATACATACATACATACATACATACATACATACATACATACATACATACACACACACTCATTAGTGACCTTAGCAACAGGGTCTGTGCCCAGGCCCGCCTTAACCTGCCATCAGGCCCTGGGGCTGATGGTTTTGTAGGCCCCCTATTTAAACAACAAATCAAAGTCATTTATAGCCTTGTTAGGCTCTGTGATCGCACTTCTCCACTCTGCTCTATGCGCGCCTGGTCCTCTCCTCCAGATGAGTGACGTATCGGGCCTCCCTCATGTATTTGTCCGGTTGCCGTTGGCTCCCCTCCTCGTCGTCCTCTCCATCTCCTCCAACAGCCCTCCTGTCTGTTTTTCCTCTCCCGCTACTCCATAGCAGAACCAGACAGCCTACTTGGCTCCGAAGCCCCGCGGCCGGCACTGCTACCGCTCGGTACAGAACTAATCTGTCCTTCCTCCTCATCCTGGCCTACAGGTTTAAAATAATCTGTAAGCTTCGGCATTTTTTGTAATAGCTGCTTGTCTCGAAACTACTTTTCCCTCAACAATTTCCTTTTCCGAGCGCCACTCTCAAACTTTTTCTTCTCAAACTTTTTCTCCTAAACAACCTTCATCTGTCACTCAATCACTCGCAATTTGAATAAGTCACATGTGAAACATATTCTCATTCT